TCATCTCTAAGAACAAGAACACCATCGTCGCCGCCGCCGCCCGCCGGGGGAGGTGGTCCGTGGACCGGTTGTGGCAGCCCCTGGCCGGCGTCGCTGTCGATGTCCCTGTCGATGTCCATCTCGTAGACGGGAACCGGGAGGGGCACCCCACCGGACGGGYYKCCGATCGGCAACGCCCCGGGCGTGGGAATGGACGTGGACGAAGAACCCCCGGCCTCGTTCTCCTTCGCCCCTTCTCCGGAGACGCGCTTGCACCTCGGCCCTCTCGTTTGGGTGCTCTTGGTCCTCTTCCTCTTTCTGTTTCTCTTTCTGTTTCTTGTTTGGTTCCCGTTCGCCGCCTTGGAGTGTTTGGTTCTGGTTTGTTTTCTGGTTCTGGTTCTGGTTCGTTTTCTCTTCTTCTTTCGTTTGTTCTCGTGCCGATCCCCGAGCAGCTTGCGGTTGCGGGGGCGATCCGGTGGAGGATCTCTTGGAAGGTTTCCCCTCGCCGCGGGGGAGCCACCCGAAACCGAAACCGAAACCGAAACCGACAACGACACGGATCCTTCGGCTGTAACAGTGAGAACCGCGGGGTCCGTCGCGGTGGTGGATGTGGATGCCCTGGCGCTGGATGCCTTTGCGCCGGAGGCCCCCGGCATCCATCTCATGGAAGGGCGTGCGTGTCCGTCCTTCCCCCGGGAGCTCCCGCTCCCGCGGAGTTGCCGTTGCCATTGCCATTGCGGCTGCGGGCGGTTCCTCTTTCCCCCCGCCGGCCCTGCGAATCCTTCCGAGCGGGAGGCCGCCACTCCGAACCAAGCCGCTGCCGCGAGTGTGAGTGCGATCGCGATCGCGAGCGCAACGACAAGGGCAACCGTTGCGGCCGGCGGTTTCCTCGTCTTGGTCTTCGCCATGGTTGTTCTGGATGGTGGCAGTGAAGTGCAGTTCAGTGCAGTGCAGTGCAGTGCAGCGGGTACGTTATTCGGTGGGTTGTGTTGGTTGTGTGTTGGTTGGTTGTTTTGCAATGCTAGAGTGGAAGCGGAGGGGTGGATCGAACAGCCAGAGCGGGTTGTGTTTGTGTTTGTGTTTGGGTTGGCGGGTGCTGTGCGATGTGGTCGATGGGCGTTTTGTTTTGCCGTGGAGCAGTGTCTCTCGAACTCGAACTCGAACTCGAACTGCTTCGAAACGAAGATTGTGAGAGGGAGGAAGAACGGGAGTAACAAACTCGAGCTAAATCAACGCAGCACCATCGAACCTTCCGCGTGCAGCAGCGCGGTATTTCTTTGCCTCGCCTCGCCTCGCCTCGCACGGCACACGCAACAGCCAGCACAGCACAGCACGCAAGACCACGACGCTCGGGTCTTGGAATCGATCCGGGAACTACTGTATCCCTGTTCCGTCCCGTCCCGGCCGATGCAACGCAACGCAACGCAACGCAGTGCTCGGTTGCCAAGAAACCCGTTGCCCGTCCGCACGCACGGTACAGTGCGGGTGCCATTCGTGTTCTGGTGGTTCGACATCGTGGTTCTTGGTTCTTGGTTCTTGGTTCTTGGTTCGTGTTCGTGTTCATGTTCTGGAAGCCGATCCGATGGTGAACAGTTCCGGTGTCGCGTTTCTTGCGGCACGAGTATGGTAGGTAGCGGTGAGTACTTGGTACGAACTCGTATCGTACGCATGGTAGTGCCTGGTACGTATCGTACAGAGCAATCAACGCATCCCATCCAAGGTACCACCGCACGGTACCGTACGGCACATACGGTACAGTACCATTTTGTGCCGAACACTTTTGTGCCCAAAAAAAGGCCGATCGCATTCGTGGAATGGAACCACTTCGAGGTACGAGTACTACGGGTAGGTTCCGTCGCGTTAACGTAACGTTACCAAGTACTCCTGTATCGTACGTACAGTTACGCAAAACGATCGTGTTCTAGTCGTAAAAAATAATCATTGTGCATTGTAAAAACATAGTACGTACGTACATTCAGTAGTCGAAATTAGTACTGTAATCGATAGATAGTACAGTATCGTAGTTCGTAGTACGTACGTACTTTGTGCAACCAATAACCAAAAAACGTGCTTGTGCTCCGTATGTACGTTCGTACCGTCACTACAATAGGTAATAAAATTAACACCAACAACTGTGAGACACCAAACCACCCAGAATCACGAGCAGCTAGTGAATACTTCTAGTGAATACTACTACGTACTCTCACTCTGATGTGCGAAAGACGTAGTCATGCGACGCTAGAGAGCCTTACCACTATGTCACAGGTTGCGAGCAACAAAGAGGCTCGCCTCTGTTCATCAACCATCATCACCAGCAACATACTACGAAGTACTAGGTACCTAACTCACTATTGAGTAGTAGGTTGGTTTACTACTGTATTTACTACTTCTGCCTTCCCCTCTGGCGCAGAGCGACTATCGAACAACCGCTCTCCGATCCGAGTACTGTATTGGGGTTCTTCCACAAACAACGCAACATCATTTTTTCCTGCGGTACTTCCGTTGTAGCAACAAAGATCGTTGTTCTCCTGGTGCCGGGATTGTATTGTATTGTATTGTATTGTATTGT